TATATATATATATATATACATACATACATATATATATACACATACATACATTATATATACTTACGGCTTGTATGACTATTTAGTAAATAATCCAAAGCACGCATTCCAATAAGGTCACATGAAGAAAAGGAAAAAAATAAATAAAAATCACAAGGCCTCTTTTATTCATTTCCATTTAATCTTGATGCTTCATATACAACCAGAACATCTTCAAAACATTAATTTTAACGGGCAAAATAAATCACAAGGCTGATAATATTTGGGTCACTATAGAAGCTAATCTTGACAGTTTCACTATGCATAGGTCTGACCCCAGCTCAGCATTATTCTATGGCTCTACGAGAGTAAAATGAGCCGATTGAGAAGAATCAAACTAGATGTGAATGCAGGGAAAATGAAAGCAAACGAGGCTTGCGAGACAACCAGCCTCATTCTGACCACTTTGTGTCCTAAAACAGCAAAGCTGCCCCACAGTGAGCATTAGGGATTTGCCCCCACCGACTCAAATCGCCCACGGTTTAACTAACGCGTGAATCCCACCAGTGTTTGGATCAATTTGTTGCATATTTCAGGTGTTGCATTCATGGGAAAAATGCAGAAAGGCACATCAGCACAAACACAATAGTGAAGCGCCTGCTTTCAAATGAACAGTCTGTCGCTTGTGCAAAGAGAATCAGATGCATATTCAATCTCTGAGAGGTCAAAGTGAAGAATAGACTGGATTTCTCAACACCGAGCATTACTTGTTAATATATGGATGTTAACAATTCACCACATTCTTAAAGTAAAAGCATTGTTTTTGCTGTAAAGAGCGAATTCACTATCCTGCAGCAGGGCTGGTCTTTGGTAGTTTTTGGTGCATATGGGTGATAACAGGAGTTTTCAGTTAAAAGTGCTTCATACATAAATGTAATGGGAAACAAGTGATGACTATTTCATGAGAACATGGTTGTGCACATGATTTTTAGGAACATGTTTTGCTGTGTCAGAGATCCTAGAACTGAAAGTGAGAAAAGCACTGCCTGTTTGTTTACACATTTTGACACCACATCCTTAAAGAGATAGTTCACCCAAAAATGCTGACAATTTACTCATCCTCAGGCCATCCAAGATGTATGAGTTTGTTTCTTCATCAGATTTGGTAGCAAAAGGTAGTATTACATCACTTCTTCACCAATGGATCCTCTGCAGTGAATGGGTGCCGGAGGAAACATTATTATGGATTATGGACTTCTATGGCCAGAAGCAAGTTTGTTAAAAACATTTTTTGATAGATAAACACTCAGCTTTTCTCTTCACAATAAGTTAACTGATTGACTGGAGTGTGGATTACTGCAATGTTTTTATCAGCGGTTTAGACTCATTCTGACGGCACCCATTCACTTCAGAGGATCCACTGGTGAGCAAGTGACATAATGCTACATTTCTCCAAATCTGATGAAGAAAAACAAACTAATCTACATCTTGGATGGTCTGAGGACGAGTACATTTTTCAAACTGAGGCGAGTCTATATTATTGTATGTGCTAATCAACTGTATGCATGCCATATCACTCTCAAACACCATTGTAGTGATCGGCTACAAGACACTTGAGAACCAATGCTGTCATCAATGATGGTGCGACATCTTCATGCTCCATTTTTGAAAAAAGCATTGATGCAAGTGGCATTTGAAAGCTATTGTATGCATTTAGATGACTGGTAATAAAGGGCGTTGCAATATAGTGGTGATATTGGCTATAACAGTGATACTGTTATTGTTAATGAAATGTTTTCCCATTGCATTTCTGCGAAAACGTTCACTAGACGGACATGTTTGACCATTGCATTAGTGTCTTTTGCTGTGTCTTGTGCATGACATGGCATTTTAAAAATGTGACGCTCAAGTTCAAAGAAGTTCAACGTCTCTAGACCTTGCTTTTTTGGTGTTCCCGGTCAAAAATGACCAGCCTTTTAAAAACTGCTTGTAAATCTCGTTATGCTATATTACCAAATATCGTGGTGCTCTCGTGAACAAGCGGTAAAGACTGAAATGGAAGAGAAGAACTTGTTGAATAAAGTTTTTTGTTTTCTTTGTGCACAAAAAGTATTCTCGTAGCTTCATAACATTACAGTTGAACCACTGATGTCACATAGACTATTTTAACAATGTCTTTACTAACTTTCTGGGCCTTGAACGTGTCAGTTGCATTGCTGTCTGTGCAGGGTCAGAAAGCTCTCGGATTTCATCAAAAATATCTTCATTTGCGTTCTGAAGATGAACGAAGGTCTCACGGGTTTGGAACGACATGAGGGTGAATAATTAACGACAGAATTTTCATTTCTGGCATTCTGGGTGATATTTTTGTAGATAATTTTGGGAATATTTAATGCATAAACTCAAATCAATTAAACCTATGATCAATTAGTTCCAAAAACAAATATAAAACCTGTGCAAATTGAAAGTAAACAAGTTGACAAAAAGATTGAATCTATTATTTGGTAATAACATTAATGAGAGATTTACAGGCATTTTTTTGTAGGCCGATCATTTTTGACCAGAAACACTGCAAGAGAAACAAGGTGAGGAAAAAATACCCAAGAAGTCCAAAAATAATATTTTTTTGTTAAGTTGTTGCATGAGCAAAGTTGTTACATTTTAGTACAATGCGATAACATTAACTATTTTCAGGAAAATAAAAATATTGCATCTTGAGTGTGATTTATCGGTCAAAAATAGAGAAAAGACAAAAAGTAAATTTAAATTTGATTTGCAGCATTTTTGGTCAAAATGTCTACATTTCTAATAATCATGAATTATTTTGGCCATGATTATAGTGTAGTGAAAATGTGGTATTGTGAGCCCTACATATAGTGCACAAGGCATAACTACCACTTTTATGATACTTGCACTGTATTTTGTGGCCAGTATAATCTTTCAACAGTGGGAATATTTAAAAATTTCTCCTTTTGTGTTCCACAGCAGAAAATCTCAGTTCAGAATGACATGAGGGGCAAAGTAAACATTTCTTGTTTTTGAGGTAAACTAACCTTTGAAATCAAATGTTCCCCTTTTAGTTAACATTTGCATAAATGGTTGTGTATGAAGAACTGAGAAAAAGCAATGAATGATGTAAACAAATGCATAAATGGAATGAAATGCACGCTTCCGTCCCCACAGATGAGTGCAGCGTTTGCTTCTTAAAATAGTTTATTTGTGAATTTACACTGATTAGCAATACATCTAAAAGCAAGTCCGTTAGATAACCATTTATATACGATTTCACAGGTCACAAAGAGGCTCGGCTCAAACTCGCATGTCAAAGCAAACAGGCCTTCTGAACCACAGACTAACAGAGAGGCATTAGTAAAACAAGGTGCAAAATGGTCAAAAGGGGTAAAAGGAAAAAAAAAAAACGAGCAATAAAAATAAAAGAGAATGTGATGCACATTCCAGTTAACGCTTCCTACACTTCCTGAAAACAGCAATGCGCAATAGAAACCGAAGCAAAAAGAGCCAAAATAAGGAAAACTTCCAAGCAATAAAACGAGTTAATCTTCCCGCCTACCCCAGTTCTCGCTCCAAACTCGCACCCGGTGCAGCTTTAAATGCGTTTTAATCCAACGCCTGGCCCGCGTTCAAAAGCACATGCTATTTACACAGCTTAGAAGTGTCTGTCTCTCTCTCCGTGCCCAAGCCAGTACTTCACATTGCCCACTGGGATATACATCTCTCTCTCTCTCTCTCAGTGGTTCCTCCTCATCTTCCCCCTACGGGACGACCATATTCGGGCCTAACGGAGTTCAAACTGAGGTCAAACTGCTAATCTTAACCATAAGAGATTAGCTTTTGGTGTACATTCTGTCCACGGAGCGTCATCTCGTGGGACAGGGCGCTTCGAAACGGGCAAATCGAGCAACCTCTGACCTCACGGGAACCGGATGTGGCGGAGGGAAGATGAGTAAATCAGTCCAGTTTTAGACACACTGTACAACGGCGTTTCTCAAACTTTAGTAACACTGACGCTTTGGATGGTTATGGGATGACCATAAGGTGACATAATCAATGATGTAGCACTATAAAGGCCCAGAATGAACCTTAAATGTCTGATGTGATGGGAATCAGTTACACTGAATAGATTTGAACCCACTGTTGACCCCATGAGAGCGAGTACTTTGCTTTTTTTCAAAAATACAGTTTACAAATATATATTTTTTCCTTACACGTTAACAAGTTTCCCTTCTCCACCCTTTCAAGATGCTAAAACATTTCTCATGTTTTCGTTTCGCGCCTCTTTCGCTTTAGATCTTCATCCATAGATGTTTTTTTTTATGTTGTATACCACATTAAAAAGTGCAGCACAAAAATATTATATTTTATACATGTATATCTCATCACTCCAGTTTTGATATATTTCCGTTACATGTGTTTAGTAATCTGAGCTATTACACGATTGCACCACTACATTATCAGCCATAGAAATTCAGACTAGCAAAACATGCTTCGTTTTTTGTTTTTTTTTCGTTGTTAAAGTATAGAAACGTGTACAAAACTGGACGGATAAAAACTAAATGGGTTGAATTTAAAAAAAAAAGCTAAAATATTTCATAAGAGATGAAGAGTTGATGTTCACTAAAACGTGACTGCTCTGCTTTTTGTAGCTGTTAAATGTTTTCGTATGGAACGGAGAGGAGACTGGAGTGACTATAACCCCCGAACGGTTTCCAGTGTGATTCTTTAAGCGTTTCCTGTGCAGTGTGACCAATTCCACCTACAGCTGGAGAAATGACGCAAGCAGAACTGACACCATGAGAAGATGACGGATAGAAAAGGGGCTCATAAAAGGTCTGTGTGAGAATCTAATAAACATACAGTATGAAAAAAATAATGCAGTATGGGCTCATCAACGAGACAAACTCAGAACATTTTCAGTCTATCAGGTGAGAGAAGCCAGTTTCCCAGGAGTTTCCCTCGCTTCTCCTCCTGTATAAAACTCATAATCATGGCACGTCTCTTAAAAACGGATGTTGCTCCAAACTTAGAAACGTAAAACGACAAACAAAGATGGACAAAGCGACAGGCGTGGATGCTCTCCGTCCTCTAGGCTTCCACTTTCTCTTTCTTTTTGTTCTTTTTCAGGAAGGACGGGGTTCTGAACTTCTTCTTCTTCTTGTTGGGTGATTTGGAGGGTGAGCTCTCGGGCGTCAGAGCCTCTTCGATCTTCTCTCCCGAGCGCACGCTGATCTCGACGCTTTCCACGCTGGTGGTCAGCTGGCTCACGCGCTTGATCAGCTCATCCTCGTCGCAGTGCTGGTCTTTACCATTCAGCATCACGCCGCTGTGGTTCTCTGCATGAGGAACGATGAAGAACACAACTGATCAATCAGTGTTGGGAAACCATCAACAGTTGTGATGATAATGAATCTTATTGGTTTGTGGTTAATTTTTATCGCATTAATTTTATTATCAGTAAATTACACAGAAACTATTAGAAACATTACGTAATGATAATTATTAATGTTGTTTGGCAACTATAAAGATTTGTGCTAAAGAATTATTTTTAGAAGAATGTTGCCGTTTATTTATTGTATTATTAAAAAGTAAAATTATTAGAAAAATTAACTAGTAATAATCACATTTTAAGTTAAAATTTTTCTTAGCCAAAAAAAAACTAACAAAAGTTTTGCTAATGAATTTTATTTTGCTAGAAATTGTGTTTGTTGTGGTTTTATTTATTGTGTAATTGTATTATTAATGAAACTAAAATAAGAAAATACACTAATAATTATTACATTAAGTTGTAAAGTGGCTAAAAAAAGTTTTTTTTAAATGGTGTATTCCATTGTTGTGCTAAAATCTAATTTTATTAAAAAAAATAATTAAAAAAAAATAAATAAATAAATAATTCAGTAGATTCTTTAATAAGCTACAATGTTGCTTGGCAAAAAGGGGACAAAAGATGTGCTAATGTGTTTTTTTATTTGCTAGATTTGTTTGTGGTGTTTTTCCCCCGTATTATTGTATTATTAATAAATTCTAAACTAATTATTAAAAATATTAACAATAATCGATAATAAAAATCTTTAATAAGTTACAATGTTACTATTCCATAAAAACTATACTTGTTTTTTGTTGCATTATCGTATTATCAAAAAATTCTAAACTAATTATTAAAAAAATTAACAATAGATTTGAAAAAAATTCTTTAAGAAGTTACAATGTTGCTGTTCCATAAAAACTAGTTGAGAGCAAATGTTTGTGACTATTTTTAAATATTTTTTATTTATAAAGTAATTAAATTATACATTCACAATAATTATTAAATTATCATATTGATACCCCATGTGATAAAATTACTGCAACTCACAGCGTATTGCTTTATTTAACCGAGTTAAACTCCATGGCAGGTGATTACTGCATATTTTATAAAACGCTTGAATATTGAATTAAAAGCTTTTTTGAACATCAGATTCACATCTAAACTCGTGATGCCCAAAGTAACAGAAGTTAATCATTGCATCATCATTACAAGAAGCTCTGGGGCAACACGTCCTGGCTCGAGTGTGACCTCCACTTCAGATAAACGTGTTGAACGTGCCCGGAATCGTTGCCTACTTATGGTTCATCACCGCTCATGTAATATGTTGGTTGAGTAACCGCTGATTTTGATGCAACTGATACAGAGTGACTGGGGCAAACGCTTCCTGTTTCTCCACCCAACACTAAACCTTATCCCGCTGTGTGTGTGAACACATATCAGTGTTTCCTTTGTTTATATAAGGCTTCATCTTCATCAGTTTATGTAAAGGTCTCTACTGTGCTCCCCTCAAAGCTCCTCCTGTAGTCAACTTTAAAGGGGTCATATGATGCGATTTCAAGTTTTCCTATCAGCGACTGTAAGTATGTTTTGTTATTAGTTTAAGTTTCTAGTTGACTGCTTTCTAGTTTCTATTGACTGTTCAAATGCGGAGTGTTGCGCATCGTGTGTGTGTGTTTGTGTGCGTGTGAGAGAGACAGCGTCACATCACAGTAGAGTCAGCTGTCTTAACCGTGGCTTGTGTACTGCATCATTACTGTGTCTGTTCCCCTTTCGGGCTTGAACTGATGGTAAAACTAATGACATTATTTACTGCCTTTACATTTATTTTGAAAGATGAAGCTTGCGATTATGGTAAGGGGCGTTACATTTCCGACGAGTGCTTGCGGTGTTCGGCCAATCACAATGCCCTGGGTCAGCTGGCCAATCAGAGCAGACTGCGCTTGTCGGAAGGAGGGACTTTGTAGAAAACGAAGCGTTTGAGAGAGGCGGGGCATAGAGGACCTACAATAATGTACAGTATTTGAAAAATAATGTGTTTTTTGAACATTAAAGCATGTCAACATATTCTGTTACACCAAATACACAAAATAATGATCTTTAAAAAAGCATCATATGACCCCTTTAATTTACTCTTCTAAAATGGGAATATCAGGTAGTGCTTGTTTAATAAAGGCAACAGAAGAGCAAGGTAACATCCTGCAACATATCCTGCCAGAAAGTTTCACAACAAGCAGGACAGTTTATTATAAACATTTTGAAACTATGATTCCTGTTGACCAGTGCTATTTTAGTATTGTTTATGTACTAATATTGCATCTATTCATATTTTGAATTCAATTTTATTTTTATATGTTCACTTTTCATTTTAATAATTTAGTTACATGCTTTTATTTTTTTAGTTTATTTTTATTTAAATAGTTCTATTTAGTTTTAATTTCAGTTTTTAGTTTTTAAATTTTGGTACCTGAACTTAAACTTCTTTCAGTTAGCAGCCAAGGCAACATTTTTAATTTTGGCTAGTTATTTAATTTTATGTTTTTAATTAATATTCTCATTTAACATTTTATTTTATTTCAGCTTTACTTCAATTATTTTTTATGGTTTTAGCCCTAGTTAACAAAAGTGTTACTATAGTAAATTACAAGTGAAATAAATATGAATAAAAA